CTATTTTTAAATGAAAAAAGGTAAGTAAAATTGTGCTAAAACAAAACACTTACCTGTCATAAAAGCACAGCACTGAAGTAATATTAATACCACCGTCGGAATTGTAATTAAACCAAGACCAGAAGCATTCTTTACTGAATATTCACCTGCTAAGAAATAAAAGTACTACATAAGACGTGTTTTCCTATGTACGTCCTATCTTGTGAGAATTTGAAGCAACTACTTTTTAAAATATATTAATCTCAATACTATTCTTCAAAACTAAGAAAAGGTTAAAAAATACAGTTCCCCATAAAACATCAAACAAAAGCAAGTAACAATGCTCACTGTTTAAGAAAAAGGATATAAACAGAATCATGGTAAGAATATTTAAATTTCAATCACTCCTACTTGTACTTTATGTCATCAATAATATTCTGTGACCCTGGAGTTCCTGTCAGATGATAATGGATGCTTTTTCATGATTCAAAGCTTCCACACAAGTAGTTAGCTCCAGATTCATATTCATCAAGACATTTAAGTCTTAATATCTAAGTTTCCACATGTTGAAACCTTACAGGCTCCAAGTCTGTGTTTGTAGGATTTCAGGGGAGAAAGTGTGGAGACTATTTTACTCTCCTTTTTATGTAAGATAGTCAATCTATCCAAAGTCAACCAGTTGTTTTTCAAATATTTCTTCTGAAATTGTCTCCTTCTTTTCTATTCTACCACTCCCAAGTTACAAAAACCCATCTGCTAAATCTAAATATTACATCTATCTGGCCTTGTTCCTCACGAAATAACGGCTTTGCTACTGTCTATTATTCTGCATTCAAATCTTTGTTTTCTTTCCCTAAGCTGCATACACTTACTTCCCACTGCACCCTCCTGTACCCACCCAACTCCCCGCAATATTAGTTACTATTTTAGGAAAACTTTTCCCCATGGCCATTCCCGCTCATGTTTTGGCCAATTAAGTCTGTCTCTTTAGTGAATTGAACAGTGGCCCCAAATATATGGCCATGTCCTAATCCTCCAAAGTTGTGAATATCAGCTTACATGGCAAAAGAGTGAACATGGGTTTTTGTAACTTGGGAGTGGTAGAATAGAAAGGAAGGAGACAATTTCAGAAGAAATATTTGAAAAACAACTGGTTGACTTTGGATAGACTGACTATCTTACATAAAAAGGAGAGTAAAATTTAAGAGGGAGGTTATCCTGGCTTATATGAGTAGGCTCTAAATCTAACAAGCGTCTTTACAAGGCAGAGACAGTGGGGCAGAGACTGGGAAGAGGGGCAGCAATGTGACCAGAGGCAGAAAGGTGTGATGAGACCACAGACAAGGAGGCAATAACAAAAGACCTCAAGAAGGGAATGATGCCCTGGTGAGACCCTGACTTCAGACCTCTGTACTCCAGACCTGTGAGAGAAGGTCTAAGTGTTAAGCCACTCAGTTTGTGGTAATTTGTTGACATCTCCAGAAAAATAATGCAAGGAGCCCTAAAGGTGTAGTGCATCGATTACGTGTTGGCTGCTAACCGCAAGGTCAACAGTTCAAAACCACTAGCCACTCTGTGGGAGAAAGACGAGGCTTTACACTACCATAAAGAGTTAACAGTCTCAGTAATGCAAAGAGGTTATGAGTCAGAATTAACTAGAAGGCTGTGAATGCGGGAAACGGAGTTCGATACCAGAATGTGGAAAGCTACAAGTACCTAAAAATATGGAAGGCACTTTGAAACTGGATAATGAGTCGAAGGTGGTAGAATTCTGATGTATGTTGACAAAACACACCTAGACTGCCTTGAATAGACTAGTGATAGAAATATGGATGCTAAAGCCATTTCTGGTGAAGTCTTAGAAAGAATGAGGACATGCGACTGAAAGTTAGAAGGCAGTTCATGTTATATAGTGGCAGGACTTTTGCCTGAATTGTGTCATCTAGCGATTTGGAAAGCAGAACTTGTAAGTGAATTAACCTGGATTATTTAGCTGAAAAGATTTCCAAGCAAACTGAAGGTATAGATTGTTTTTTCTTGCTGCTCATAGTAAAACACAAGAGAAAAAAAAAGTAAATTGAGGAAAAATTGTTATAAAAAAATCCCTGAGTGATTTCAGAAATTCTCAGTCTATAGTGACTGCAAAGAGGCTAAAATTAGGATGTTCACTGTTAGTAACCCATGCTCTAAAGAGAGGGCCAAAGATGTATAACTAGGCAACCTTTTCCAGATGAAATTAGGCATATGACTTGTGGATTTACTCAACCAGAAGTCAGGCAAAGAGATGGGATTTTCTAGAAAAGATCTGTGGCAATCTCTTGTGTAATGGTGAGTTACTGTGATATACATGGGAGAATCCACAAGATTTTTAACAAGATTTCATCAACAGAAACACTGGCAGCTTGGGCCAAAGGGACTGAGAAAGGACACAATAGAAGAAGGCATCAGAGCTCCACAATTCTACAGGAAGAAATAGGCCAATAAAACTACTCATCAGCAATCACGTGCCACCCACCCTTCAAGAAATAAAGGAAGACTAGCTCTTAGGACAGAGCCTTGGGCCGGAGCAGTAAAGCCTTGAGTCGGATCACATGGGGCTATTCTTAGGCTTTAAAACCTAATGGGATTTGACTTGCTGGATTCTGAACTTGCTTGGATAGATGGTTCCTTTGTTCCTTCTGGACTCTCCCTGTTAGAACAGAAATGCTATCCTATGGCTCTTACCCCATTTCATTGTGGAGGCAAACGGCTTGTTTTCCAATTCCACAAGGCCATAGATCAGCGGTTCTCAACCTTTCACAGGGGTCACCCGGTTCATAACAGTAGCAAAATTACAGTTATGAAGTAGCAATGAAAATAGTTTTATGGTTGGGGTCGCCACAACATGAGGAACTGTATTAAAGGGCCGTGGCATTAGGAACGTTGAGAACCACTGCCATAGATAAAGAGAAAAAATTTTCCCCCAGGACGGAGCTTCACACATAACTCATTTAGATGATGAAATTTGCAACTCTGAGTTGATGCCACTTAGATGGTATTTTGAGGTAATGCGATGAATGTGTTAAGACTTTGGGGGATGGTGGGATGTTGTATATGTATTTTGCACATGGAACAAACATGAATCTTTGGAGGTCAGAGGGCAGACTGTCATGGGTTGAGTCGTGACCCCCACAATATAGTCCCTGGAATCTGTGTTTTTATATGGCTAAAGAGTTATTAATAATCCTTAAAGAAAGAACTTATCCTGGCTTATCTGGAAGGACACTAAATCCAATGACACGCGTCCTGATCAAAGAGAAGCAGAGGGAAATCTGACACAGAGAACACAATGCTGATCATTCACAGAGGCAGGAGCTGGCAATGTGATATGGTCTCAATGAGACCAGAAAAGGCATTCTCTCTCCTGTAGAACCTCGGAGGGAAGGAGCCCCGTGGAATGCCTTGATTTGACTTTTAGGCCCCGTTTTAAGTCACTCAATTTGTGGTTATTTGTTATAATAGTTCTAGGAAACAATACACCCTCCTTTGGCATTCCCTCACCCGAAGCCCCACCCGCCCTCACGGCACGGTGCATCTTACCAGGGACGAAGAGAATGGCTCCAACTATAACAATTATGGTGAGGATCAGGCCAGTGACAAACATAAGGATGGTTTTTTCGTTCGTACGATTGGATGTATATTTAAGTGCTAAAAAAACAAAACAAAAGAATTACATGAACCCAACATCAAGAACTAAAGTCATTCCGGTAACTTATCAAATGCATAGACAAACTGATTGAGTTACTATAACTTAATAAGTTTTAGGAAACAATTCCTTCATCTCAAATTGGGTCACTCTGAATTTTCAAAACAAATGAGCGGATAAGTGTCTAGTACTATCAATATGGAAGCTGAACTCGTAGTTGAAGCTTTAGGCTCCCTACACTTTAAAGAATGCATTTTTAGACACTAGACTTTCTCGCTATCAGCATTATTCACATTGGAGTCAGGTTAAGTTTCTGTTGGATACTAGAAGATGCTTAGTAGCACCCTGCACATTGACTCCGTTTATAAAACTTCTTCCTTGTGTTCATCAAAACCGTCTCCAGACTCCTGAGGAGCAAATTCCTGCCCAGGGGACAGCGATAGCTATCAATGCTGGCGGAACATAACTGGATTTCTGACAAGACTGAGGAAAAGAGAGGCTACCCCACGTTACAAAAAATTAGTAAAACATCACATAATGTAGGAATTTTGATTTGGGGGGGGGAATTAAAAGATAGAAAATAAACACGGAAGAAATCACACTCGAGTGAAATCACCGAGGGGAAAATGTGTAAACGGATTCAAGTAAAAGAACTTAACAAAAGTTAACTCCAAAGCTATAGTAAGTCATCTAATACGCTACTCTTGCATCACGTGACTCAGACTTTTCCTGAATACGTCTAAAACATTACTTATTTTGATATTCACATTCTTCAGGGGTTTTGGTTAATATTAAAATTATATTTTTGCCAAGACAGTAGTCCAAGTTGACCTAAACACAGACTGATTCAGTAGGGGGGAGCATGTGTGAATACGAGTCTTCTGACTGCAATCCACACATGGATATTCAACACGCCAATGATCAGAGTGCCCCTCCTGTGGAGGCACACAAACACCGTCAAGGTCAGGGCTAGTGGTTAATGTCCCTCCTAAAATGGCCCACAGATAAAAAGATAATGAACACAATAAACAGAACCCCAAATGTCCTTGATAAAAATCTATGTTTAAGGAATACTATAGACACCCGAAAGGTGTTTAAATCTCTAACAACTCATATTTTAGATTTTCATTTCATTCTCTTTAGGGCAAGGCTTTGACCCCTGGCTGATAATTTGCATTTCTTACGAGTTCCTAGTGCTGATGCTGCTGATTAGAGACCAACGCTGAGAACCACTGGCAGAGCAGGGGCTCTAAAATTTTACAAGACATAAAGATCACCTGGGGATCTTGTTGGACTCAGATTCAGTAGGTCTGTGATGGAAATGCACATTTTCAGCAGGGGTCTGAACCGAAATGCATCCATTTGAAGCTCTGCTTTAGAGATGAAGGGCCGCTAACAAATTATCAATCCTGAATCTGAGTCAAAATCCCACACTCATCTGAAATGAGTAAGAAATCTCACATGGACATTTCCTTAAATTTTTATTTAATCTGTTACCTCCAGCAAGCCTCAGAATTTATGTGACTACTACTTGTATCACAGGCTTTCTGAAAGGCAAAGAGTTTTCGCTTTTCCTTTTCCCAAGATGCTAACACTAGCTCAAATGAAGCTGAGGGCACAGGTCACCAAAGACATAGCAACAGGTAGCAAAGGGAATTTCATCTAGACATATGGCAGGTTTCCATTTCAATCTCATGAATACTGTTAACTATATATAGCTTAAAAGTTCTGCAAAGGTAATAAAATAGAAGCAGTTAAAATGTACCTCATAATCAATCAAACATTCACTAGAGATTCTTTCAGTTTTAATTCAATTCATAAAGGAGCTACTAAGAATTTGTCTTAGAGTCCAGCAGAATTTCATGCAAAAATAAAGCATTTGAAATGCATATAAGTTTCAACTTCTTCAGGCTTAGAAGAGTTACAAGAGAAGAATACAGCCACCATCACCACCAAAAAAAAAATCAACACAAAATATCCCTGCTGGCAAGTGCTCCATTATAAAATACCTTTCTCTTTGAGCATAAGGATCCTCATGCTAGGTATCTTCTCAGTTGCTTTTGATTGATTTCACTACTCTTCCCAGGTCTGCCTCACTCTTGCTTAAATTGAGCAGCAGTCTCTAACAAGTACATTAGTGAGAGCTACTTAAGTAAACCAGAAATTATAAGATAATATCTCCATGTTTCCAGCCTTTGGAAAGAGTTTCTTTTGGCCACCTTTCTTGGCTCACAACGGCCACTTTTTTAGCAGGGTCCACAGCTTGTTTCATCCAGTTGTCAGGTTTGTCAATGTTGCTGAAGGACAAGGAATGGGTCTGGTATAGACAGAGGCCATACAGGGTTCGGCATGGCCTATATTGGCGATCACGCCTTGTCCTTCGAAATAAAATTTATCAGAACATTAAGTGTAACAAAGAAAATAAATCCAAGCAATGCCCTAAATGCTGACCATCAACACACAGATAATCTATTGTGCTCTTAACAGCAGACTCTACCAAATTCCTGCTATAATTTTCTATCTACTTTGCAAGACATTCTGTTAACACAACTTTAAAACTCTGTATGCTTTTAAAGATTCTCCTCCCCTACAAGTACTGAAAATAAACATGAAAAGTAAAGATATACGCGGAACAACAATATTTATATTTTTAACAAAAGCTCAAAACCATACTGCTCTTTGACAGAGGCCAATATCACTTTTCCCCCCCTGGAATGTTAGGAATTCTAGGATTTTCTCTTTTATATAAAATTAAGTTTAGCTAGGCTGGCTCGTTCATTCATTCTCCAGATAAAGAAAAGATGTAGATATAATCTAGCTGAAGAAAGTCCCTCCAGGTCTAATCTTTCAGAGTCATGAGAAAGAAAGGCAGCAGCAGGGTCCTGTAGCCACCTGAAACAGCTAATGGTATGTATGAGGAGACGGAGCATTCCGATTTCCTGGTGTCCAGACGGCGTGGGGGTGCGGTGGCCCCTGTGCTAACTGCAACGCCAGCCGTTAGAAACCACAAACTGCTCTTTGGGGGAAAAAGAGCTTTCACTCCAGTAAAGAGTTAGTTTCAGAACCCACCAGAGGCAGTACTACCCTGTCCTATCCCATTGCTATCAATCACAATCGACGTGAGGGCACTGAGTCTGTTTTGGGTTTTGTCTCCTTTTGAGTGATAACAAGCATACGCAACACAGCGTTCTGGTTGTGACTGATGCAATGAATGTAGTGAAATTATAGGTCAATTTAGGAATCAATAGATCACATTAATACTCCTGGACCAACTAAGACTGAATATGATAAATAAATATAGGTCCATAGAGATTGTAGTCTATGACAACAAAAAATAAAATCCACGAATTCAATTCCTCAAGGAAAAACTTATTGAGCATGCTCAAGGACATGACAGTCAGATGGCCCCTTACTAAGTGATTAGTGAGGAGAGACACAGACATCAGATTAAAAACAGATCAATAAAGAAGGTGTGCATCCTGTTTTATTATTGTAATGCTGTTAAATGAAGATAAAATTTCAAAACTTAAAACTAATTTAACATTTTATTATGTAAAACATTTCTAATACAATCATTTTAAAATGAAGGCTTGCAAAATTAGTGTTGGAGAGAAGTAAACACTAGGGCCAATTCTACACTGCTTAGTCCTGAGAAGGCAAGTAAAATAATTGTAACACTAAGTTCCACATACTGTCCAACTCGCTTCCATGAAATAATTTGTTACATTGAGCACCAACTAGAACTCACATTGCTGGTCTGTAACCTCCAGGAATGAAAGAACCCAACCTTTCCAACAGCCAGGAATTTGAATATAAAAGATTAAAGGAGCATGTTCTTAATTATTACTCCTGCTTTCAATTCCAGACTTCCCTAGACTTTTAGATAAAATATATGCAGGAAGTTGAGATGTTTGGATTTGGAAAGGGCTCAGGGAAACAGCAACTACCTGGCTATAAAAAAGTAAAATGCTGAACTGTAGTTTGGTTTGGTTCGTCCTACCATAAAGTCTGCAATCACATTCTTTAATAACGGAATGTGGTGACTGTGTGGACAGAGCCGAGAGAATGCACTGGGAGCTTAAGACTGTTGAACAGAATGCACACAAACTCAGTACATAAACCACTCTGAAGAAGGAGTCTGTAAATATTTATTGCAATGATACTTGATCGTCTTCATAGCCCTACAATGCCAAGCGCGATGTTTTTGTAACATTTAATTAAATGTATATATTAATATATATTGATAACTATGAAAGTAAAGAATAAAAACAAAAAAAAAATCTTTCCTGAAATTAAAAATTCAGGCGTTATAGGGCTAGATAGGCTTTTCCTGGTGCATGTTTAGATCCTTATTTCTTTTTAGAATTATTTTTCTAATCTCGAAAGAAATTCGGGGACTAAATGCTTTCAATATGTACGTAATCCTCAAGACCAGACTCAAGGATTTAGCAGAAGCTGCAGAATGTTGTGATGGAGAATTCTTTTCCTTTGATTTCCCAAGAGTGACACCGAAAGAGATCCTATCCAATTACAGAACCCTGGGCCACCCCCAACCCCTCCAGGAGAAGCCAAAATCCTTAGAAAATGGTGGAACTGCCCCGGTGGGTTTCTGAGACTGTATTCTTTACAGGAGTAGAAAGACCCATCTTTCTCCCAGGGAGCTGCTGGTGGTTTCAAACTGCTGACCTCTCAGTTAGCAGCCTAATGCATAACCACCACACCATCAGGGTTCCTATCATCTTGGGTAGGGAACAGAGAACTAGAGAAGAACAAGAACGCTTTCTAGAAGGCACCAATATGAAATAGATGGCAGATAATCAATCCTCCCATTGCATGGTTCTAAGATGACTGAATTATACTTACTAGAGTTTAGTTACATACCAGTCTCCTCAAAAATATGGATCAAATTTAAGTTATTGTATATACTCGAGTATAAGCCGACCCGAATATCAGCCGAGGCACCTAATTTTACCACAAAAACAGCATTTAAAAAGTGCTACAA